TCTCTTTCTCAATTTGTTTCCCCCCCCCCCAACTACTTCTTTCTGGCTACTTCTATTTGCAATCCCTCTTATCTACATACTTAAGTTGCCAACTATTTCTCTTTTTAAAGAAAATTGAACCTGACTCAATCACTCTCCTCCTGAGTCACTTCACTCAGCGATCAGATCCCTTCCCCCTGAGGATTTTCCCATGGGTTTTAAAATTGTGACTCTCCCTCCTGTCCCTCCCAGGGATTTTTACTCATTCTTCTCTTTCACTTCCCTCCTTTCCGGGCCAGTCTCCTCATGGAGAGCCGTAAACTCGGTACGTTGGAGGCCCGCACTCACTTCAGGGGTCCAGGCTGCCCAGCCCCCATCTCGGACACTCCACACATACACACAGGCACACTGCTGCCCCCCCGGCCCAACCCCGTGGTACTCACACAGTCCGTTTTCTCACACAGTTCTTCTGCACAAGATATTTTACAGGCACCTTTATCTCTGTCCGGCACTCCTACTCTGCGCCCTTGCTACAGCTAGCTTCTTTTGCTTATGCTTTATCCTAATTGGAACTCCTATTTCCAAGGGAGAATGAAATAACCTTGGGACCACCTGAAATGATTGGTAAGGAGCTCCTTCCCATGGTTAGACGCTCTTCCCTTGGACTTGAGTTCCCAGGTTTTGGCACCAAATTGTTATAAATGAAATTAGAATTTTGACAACTAGGTTTCTTGGGTTAATGGTAGTTTAATTAAAAATTAATACAATTCAGTAAATTGAATAGTAATTTGGTATAAAAGAATAGAGTTCAGGAAAAGAATACAATTTAGTTTAAAAATTACAATTAATAGATAGAATTTGCCAGGAATTCAGTACAATTAAAGCATAAGCAAAACCAACTGGGGGGCAGGCAGGGCTTGTTACCCCACCTCACATCCAAAACCAATCAGGGTGCAGGGAGGGCTTGTTACCCCACCTCACGTCCAAAACCGACTGGCAGGCTTCCCACCCTGCCTCACGTACAAAACAAAGCACTTCAAGCTAACCTTACATGCTGTATGCTTATACATATTCATGAATGTTTCCCATAAGTTTCCTCCAAGTTCTGATTTTCCTGACTTTACGTCACTATTCTTCACGGCGCATGCTTCACTTGTTGTTACGCAGTCTTCCTTTGGTGGTCTTTTGGCAAAGGCTTCTCTTCCTCGTTGTCCTTTGGATAACCTTACAGGTTTGTGCGTGCGTACAAAGCGTTGTGTTGTGTGAGTCTACTCATTAGTCTGATATTTACTGATTTTTAGGCCCAATGCCTAAAGTGGTTCTAATTTTGACCATCTCAAGGCTGTTTTCGTCTTGGGGCATCACCCAAACTACATCCTGTACCTCAATTTTAACATGTACCATCTGTAAAGGAGTGCATCTGTCTTAGAACACTGATACTTTTGATTGCTTCAAATAATCACTTTAATAACAGTTACCATTTAGTTAGCATGAATCAATTCCATTTATTACAAGGATGTTCAATTTAGGGTGAATTTGGGAGAAAAACTCCAAATGGGGGTTCCCCCGGGAAAAACAAAATTCAAATGACCCCTCCCCCCAACTGTTCTGGGAAAAAAAAAGAAATTTCCTTGGAGAGAAGTGGAAAAAGCTGTTTATGTAACAGAAAATTGGATAATCTTAAACAATAAAACCTCTCACTTTTTGATGGGATGGCAAATCCCGAAAGAAAACTCCTTTTCATGTGGTGAAGCTCGGCTCGCTCAGGTTCTTATCAATCCCTCCGGTGCCAGAAAGTGTGGAAGCCCAGGCCTCGGTGGCCCACAGGCGTGAGCTCCTGGGGTTTGTCTGGGTGTTTTTCAGTCCAGAGCAGGTTTGCACAGATCCAGGAAAAAAAGAGAAAAAAGGTCCAGGGAACTTCTCTGCCTCAGCTAGCTGAAACAAACTAAAAGCCAAAGAGAAGCTCTGTCCCGCTGTCTCTCCGTGCTGCAGACACCACAGTCCAGCAGCAGGATGTGGGGGAGTGATGTTTTCTTTCAATAAAAACTGCGCACTTCTTCGCCCTCTTCACTCTCAGAGCCAGTCTTAAAGGTGCAGAACTTAGTATATAACATAAACCAGGCGATTGAGGATACCAGTATCATAAAGTCACCCCAGGACAAAGGAGAAGACAGGAGTTCAGAAAAGAAGGGACATTTTTCTTCATGTTTCATGGCCCTTATTTCCCACATGTCTGTCTTTGTGCGGCTCCATCCAGAAAAGGTTCTTTTTGAGGATGTCCTTTGTCATCTTGGTGAGGCACGAGAAACACACGAATACTGGCCCACTGCCCTACCAGAGATGAGGAAGCAGGTGGTTGAAAAGTGGATGGTCCATTGGGCTGTTTAGTCACCCCCATAGTAGAGTTACGGTTACGTTGACTTTTCCACAGTACTCCGTGGCTAAGAATGAGGAGCTGCCCTTGGCTGTGTTTGAAGGATACTGAAACTTCAAAAGAAACGTGCTTCTCTTGTGTGTGGCAGCATGCCTCTTCCCCAGTTTCCTACTGGGGTACTGGTAGAATTTAATGTCACTTACAAGCACCTCAAGGTAAATGATGGATATTGCATTTCAGTGTTTGAGCCAAAAGTTGGTTTAAAAATTAGCAACAGAAAAGGTTGTAATTTTTAGGAAAGAAAAATTCTTAAAACTGGTTTTAAGAATTATATGGTTTTAAGAATTATATTATTTTTAAGAATTATATGGTTTTCAATCAAGATTTTTTTTTTTCTAAAAATTACTTCTTCCCCGTTTAAAACTAATTTGTTAAGAACATGTGTCAATGTACAGGTCTGACCACTTTTGGCATCATTGTTCCATATCTTTCCTTTTTCCTGCAAGGCACTGTAACTTTTGAATCACAATAATTTTCACCACTTTGAAAATGCAACTTGTGTTTATCCTGCTAGTGGATACTTACCTGCTCCATGTTAAAGAACAGACAGTTCCGAAAGTGAAATATGCTTTATGTAAATGTATCTTTTTTCACTAGTCTCCTGGTATTACATGCAGCAGGGGCAACATTAATACAGTCTATACTGACTTATTTTTGAGAAGCTCTTAGAAATTATTATTATTTTCAGTATATCTGCAATAAATTAGTGTGTGTTTCAGCTGCAACTCCCCTGTGCGCTCTAGTGCCAGCAAGATCTCCTTGCAGTGTAGGAAGACACAATTTTTGCTTTCTGATTTGCCCCCAGCTATGTCACTGTACTGGGGGTTAGGTGTCTGGTTAGGTGTCCTTCCTTTTGTTCCTTCTGTCCTATAGCGTTTTCCCCATTAACTAGTTGCAGGGAAACCTGACTGCTGATACTTCTTGGGTGTTGGAGAAGACAAAGAGTTTGGCTGGGCCCAGGGGGAAAGGGGTCCAGGTAAAAAGGGAGGGGCAGGGGCAGGTGGGGGCTGGCTGGTTTCTTCAGCTGCAGAGCAGGACACACTCGAGAGGCTGTTGTTGCTTGGGGAAAGGAATTTGCCATAACCCAGATGGAGCTGCTGCTGCTGCTGCTTCTTTTTCTGCAGGCCTCGCAGCCCCTGTCCTGCCGGGACGTGCGGCAGTGCCAGCCACCGCCGCGGAGCTGCTGATACACCTCAGCCACCGGCCCGGCATCTCTGCTCATTCCTGCTCTTGCAGCTGGGTGTTCCTCAGAGCCCTGCTGGGGTACCGGGATCAACTGCCTGCAGGCGGTTTGTGAAGCAAAACCTCTCTTCCATCCTTCCCCATCTCAGCTGAGAAGGCTGTCACGAGGTCCCTGGTTCTGTTCGGTTGGTAACGCTGTAGTCAGCGTTGTTTGTTTGCCTTGTTGTACATACTGGTCAAGAGCTGTTCTTCCTATCCCCAGATCTTTACCTGAGAGCCCCTTAATTACAAAATTCAGAATTCTAATAATTCAGAGGGAGGGAGGTGTACATTTTTCATTTCAAGGGAGGCTCCAGCCCTCCCTCACAGACACCCATCTTAGAATTACAAATGGCTACACCTGTGCTGACAATACATTACACCATAGAAATCTCAGTTAAGGGTCAAAAAAGGCATTTATTAGATTATTAGAACAATGCTATGTAAAAATATACAAATATTGTTATGTAAGAATATACAAAATATACAAGTACCAACTTAAATTATGTTAACAAAACGTAATTTATTTCCAGCCTCTACAACGACTCACTATACATAAAAATCAATTAGCTGTTTAACAATTTATTATGTATTACTATAAACCTACGGCCCATAAAGAAATACAAAAATATACTTTCCCTCTCTAAATGACAGTATACAAATAGTGATCATCACAGCTGACAGAATTATACAACTCTACCACTCCATACATGTGTAAATGGAACTAAATACACAGCTATACACAAATTCATATAAACGCGTATAACTGTAACAATCTACAGATGTACATATAGATTTAATATTACATACAATATATATAAACAGATATATAAAACAGACCTATCTATAAATACAAAAATATCAAGTTAAATATCCACACAACTGCGTCAATAGAAATGTACAGCTACACATCTGAATACGTATATAAATAGAATTCCATAGAAATGTCAATATACAGATAAAAATATAAAAATACACATATCTACCTACGCAAATACCAATATACCTATTTAAAGAGCCAAATAACTGTAATTGTATCAATCAAAATATACACAACTGTATCTCCTATGTATAAGGGGATAGAATTTGACACAACTATAACAACATATGTGTATACTTACATACACGTATGAAATTACAAACATGTATGTGTATATATCCATACATATGTACAAAGAATACATCCATAAACAGAACAACATATATATAGAAATATTCCTATACAAATAGGAATATACATACATACATATATAAATATCCACATAATTATCCCTCTTTATGCGTAAGTCCATTCTTCTTTAAACAGAGGGAACTCAGCCCCCCCATCTACAAAGCCTCTCCCTCGGTCTCTTGCTCCTGTGCACAGCAGCTCTCCTGGACAGGCACAGCAGATGGGACATCTGGGAGGCAAAGGGAACACCCAGTCATTATTGGGACCTTTCCCTTGGCAGCACCTGTCCTTCCAGCAGGGAACAGAAAACCTCAGAGCCTCCCCAGGAGGGTTGGGAAGAACAAGCAGGCCGAGCGGGCCAGCGTGTGGCGAGTGCAGGCACAGCGGGACTGTCCTGCATCCCCCGGCAGGCTGGAACAGCTCCTGGACCCTGCCGGCACAGCTGCCTTGCCCAAGGACAGCCCTGTGCCGGCCGGGGCAGCAGCGCTGAGCAGCCTCAGCACGGGCAGGGGCCGCTCCTGCCCAGCCGGGCAGCACCCACAGCCAAAGCCCACACCACCCTCAGCCCCGCCCGGCCTCACCGGCCCTGTGGCCTCACCCAGGCTCTCGGGTGGCAGCAGCAGCTCCCTGTTCACTGCTCTTGTTCCTGGCCTTCAGCTTCTCCCTGCTGGCTCCTGGCAGTGCCTGGCTGGCCTCAAGGTCTTCAGGGCAGCTGTGGCAAAAGTGGAGGTTCTGGAATTGGTTCCAAGGCCTGGCAGAGCTGCAGTCCCTGACCCCTCTGTGCTCCCTGCTGGCCCCTCCATCCCCTCAGCCCCGCTGTCCTCTCGGCAAACCCCCAGCCCCCCACTTCAGTTGCTTCAGCCCCTCACAGTCCTCTCACCCCCCTCAGTCCCTTCTGACCCGTTCTGTCCCCTCAGAGCCGGGACCCCCTCTGCCTGTGCCACTTCCTGTCACCTCAGTGCCACCATCGCCCTCTGCTCCCTCACAGCCCTCAATGCCCCCAGCAGCTCAAGGTCACTGTCCCTTCAGCGTCACCGCCTCCTCGGCCCCCTCAGTCTCACCGTCCCTCAGCAGCTCCTCAGGGGACAGTGCCTGGGGCCACCGGCAGCTCCCACCGCTCCAGGGACAGCTGGGGCTGGAACTGCTGCTCCACCTGGCCCGGCCCCAGCTCGGACCCAGCATAGGAACAGGGGACAGAGGGGGCACAGGGTGAAAAACAAGAGGTGAAAAAGGAAGCCAAGGGGGAAAGAGGTTAAAATGCAGCCTAAGGCTACACAAACAGAAATCTGTCCCTCTGAACATCTATATTCCTCTTCAAATATAAATATCTCCATTTATAAATAGAATTTTAAATATGTGTATATATGTATATTAATTTTACTCCAGACATATATAAATTTAAATTAGAAAATCTATAAATGTAATTCCATATAAAAATATATATCACATCTATAACGAGATTTATCTACACTTAACTATGCAGATCACTAAATAGAGATCTCATATATAGTTATAATCTATATTATATATAAATATATAAAATAATTCAATCTATAGAAACAGGACATTAAAATCGATAAATGTAACTATAAGGATTACTTAATAGAACTATAGAAATCTATACATGTAGAACAGAGGGATTCTACCTGCCTGATGGTCACAGGCCCTCCCTCTGTCTCTTCCTGCTGTGCAGGGCAGCCCTCCGGGAGACATCCCTCAGATGGCATCTGGGAAGCAAAGGGAACACTGAGTCAATATTGGCCCTTGTGGGTGGGGCCCTGTTTACCTTGGACAGCAATTGTCCTGTCAGGGACTGGAGAAGATGGTCTGAAAGGCAGACTCTCCCTTGGGAATTTGAAGCCTGCTCTTTAAAGAACAGGGATCCTTCCAAGTTTCCAAAACTGTGTGAAGCATTCAAGTATCTCAATAAAGTCTCGGTACCCACAGTGCAAATGGCACCCATGAGAGCCTGAAACACAGACGGTCCCAGCTGCCACAAAGAAGCCCTGACTTGTTTTTTTTCTCCGTGCTGACAGAAAGACCTCAGGCCTCGCTGCAGTGGCTGAGGCTGAAGGGTGCTGTGAACTGAATCATGAACCAGCTCCATGATGTCAGATCTACAAACTGCCCTTTACAGTGAGCAGTACCTGCTCCAACTTGACCATCAGCTCTGACAGGACAAGCTGGTAGGGAAAGAGCTCCCTACAAGGCCTGCAGGCTACACCGACTTGGCCAAGGATTGGACCCAAAGGGCTTCCTCTCTCTTCTTAGTCTCACTAATCTGGGGTCACTCAGGCTTTTCCTTGTGTTACCGGATTTGTCATTTTTCGATTAATTGGCCTCTGATGTTCTGCTCTCTTTGTTTCTCTTGTGTCTCAGGATAGATTCCAGCAAACTGGTACTACAGTCAGCAATTTAGACTTCTGCCCTCATTTTGCACTCTTTTTTTTCCCCCTGTTC